AACTGATTTCAGTTCGAAACATAGGCAAAATTATGATATAATATAATAAAATGTAAAACATTTTATTATTATAATTAACTTTTCACAAGTTTATTTTTTGACCTAACCTGAAATATTTATTACGTTATTGCGCATGTGCACATGAAGGCTCACTATTGGTTCTCCAATGTTTCATGAAACAAATGAAATTTTCGTCCATGAAAGATTGAAACTTTCAAATGAAAGTTTCAATCTTTCAATGAAACGTTTCACGACTCACAACCCTACCGGGTGAAAAAGACTTTCATTTGTTCCACCGTTTGAAAATGGCGTCCATTTTTACTCTAGGGTAAAAATAACACATGGACCAGCTGTTCATTTTTACCCTAGGGCAAATATGGACGCCGTCTCAAAGTGACAGACTATTCTGTTAATGATTGACGAACTTATTTTTTCCGTGTACTACGGTTGCAGAAGTTCTATGCTTTTTCGGTATTACACTCTTGCAACAGTCCATTTTATGCTGATCGTTCTGTCCTTATCTATCGCATATAATGACGCATAAGTTGGAAGAGGACAGAATAATCAGCATGAAAAGGTCTACTGGCGAGTAGGTAGGCGTGGCCTAATCGTCAATTGCAAGAGTCTAATACCGAAAAAGCATAGAACTTCTGCAATCATAGTAGGAGATATTACGTGCAATCTACGCACGGCGTTGTTGCTACACGGAGAGAAATAGATGGTAAGATCTTATGTTCTTAAGATAGTTAAAAGTAGATGTTATCCGCAGGGTGTCTAACGGTCAGGGAAAAGTCAGGGATTTTCAAAAAATTTCATTCAAAGTCAGGGAAATTTCTGTAAATTTCTACAAAAATTAAAATTTTTTGTGAATTTAAAAATTTTTTTAATCTAAAAAAACTTGAATGGTTTTTATTACCATTTGTTACTACCATTAGAAATTAATTTATTGTTAAATATGTCAATAACCATATTTTTGTCCAAAAAAAGCAGAAATAAAGTTATTAAAAAGTCAGGGAAAAATAAAAAAATGTCAGGGAATTTTTTTCTCAATCCTTGTTAGACACCCTGTTTCCGGTACCACCAATATGCTACTCTGTACCGTCAAAGATGTTAGAAAAAATATGGTTACGTTACCCACTACAATTAAGATGTTACTCCTTACAATCTGGAATGTAACTGATAGAATTTGTTTGTGAAATTTTTAATTTTTTATTAACATTGATAAATTAATTAATATCTCGAAAACAAAAAAACGACATTTTACTTTTTTTTGGTATTGATTGTATTTATTGAATGTTCGATCAGTGTCAAATTATACGTCGTGCTGACAGGAATTTTAAAATTTAACAATTTTAAAAGTTTCCTTATAATTATGTTAATTTTATTTATTTAATTTTCAATGGTAAAGGTTTTTTTTATAATTTTTTTATAATTTTTTTTTTATTTTATTGTTCTTAATAATCTTCTACAATAATTGTGAAAATATTTATTTTTAATTTTTTTTGTAATAAAAAATTTTTAGTTTTCTGAAGAGGACGGCTGAGCCGTTGAAAACGTTAAAATTGTGTTTTCTTTTATTACCTGACTCAGAGTGATCGATATCTTCATACTATATATATATCTTAAGCTTTATTTTGAGGGTAAAAAAAGGGTCCTTTATTAAAGAAAAGTCAAAAACATTTTTAATTTGAAAATGGAGTAAATTTTGAATTTTTAAATGTATAACCAATGTATAACATTTTTATTCTAATCCCAATATGAAATTGTTAAAGACAAAAAGTATTCATGTATTTTTATTCATATTTTTTTAAAACAATTAAAAATTTATTTTTTTAAATAAAAATTTTAGAAATTTTTAAAAATTGAAAATTTGAATAATTTTTTTGTTTTGGGAACGTTCACATATGACGTCACGCTAATTTTCAGCTTTTTTGACCCCTACCCCCCCTTTGTCACGATTTGACAAGACCCCCTTGATAATGGACGTCACGTTCTTTAAACACCCCCCCCTTTTTTTTTGTTTTTTTTAAATCTTAAAAATTTTCTAAGGTATTAAAATTGTTTTTAAAGAAATAATAAATGTTAAGATTACTTAAATGTAATAAAAAAGGTTTCTGATAAAAATAATTTATTTTTTTTTGCAATTATATACTTTAATAATATAATAATATTTTTTGCTTAAACAGAGTTATTAAACTTAAAGTTTAATAACTCATTTTTCCAACAATGAAAATTAATTTCATTATTAAAAGTAATACTTGATTTTTAATTATTAATAATCAAAGCAGTTCATTTTTAATCTTTTCTCAGCAATTTTTTAAAACTAGCAGCTGATTATTGCAGCTTTTAAACTATACATCAGTCTATATTTTTTTAAAACAATGTCTTAAATTATTAAACTTTACAGTAAGTTTATAATTTTTTTCTTTAAACAACGCTTTAAATTATTAAAATATAATAATAAAAACATGATTAAAAGTATATAATTTTCTATATGTATCTTTGGCTTCTCTTTATTATGATGCCTTGATATTCGATTCGCGGGAAAAGGTATCAAATTCAAAATTCTACTATAAAAGTAGTAAACATACTTAGTGACATCACGAAGGAACTGAACCCCCCCCGTACGCCATGTCACGTTTGACCAAGACCCCCTCCCTACCCCCTACTGCGTGACGACATATGTGAACGTTCCCTTTTAGCGAAATTGTCCGCACAAAATACATACAGACAGCCATTTTTTAAAACCTATTTTTTAGTATCTAGAAATCTCAAAACGTGGAGAATCATAAGAATTAGAGATAGGTCAAAAACTTGTAAATGTAATATTTTCTCATTATGATGAGAATGTAAAAACGTATGATTCACTAAAAAAATTATACGAAAAGTCACAATAAAAAAGTGCTCAGTCTTCGATTTTAATTTTTCTTGGAAAATGGTCCTGAGACAGTCCCTTATCATTCACAAAAAAGAAAATTAGAGGTGGAAGAAAGTCATACTTGAAACTATTCGAGGACCACCGTAGAGGAGGTGTTCTTTTTTTCCACTAACCCAGTGATATACACTGGAACCTCAAACTACTGCATCTCTGACAATTGCAATTGTTTACCAAAACTTGGTTCACACTTTTTGACGTAACCTTGACGTCAAGGATAACCTCCATCTATTGCACATAAGACTCGCGCGCTACAATCGTCTGAGATTCCAGTGTAGGAGAAGGTGGGGTGGTAATGGAAGCTTTTAAATTACAAGTACACAGAGATTTTGAATTTCGTGGAAATAACTCGGAAAACTTGAACAATCTTCTTATATGTCATACGAAGAAAAACGGACACATTTCTGACAGATTTGTAGAAACTACAAGGAAAAATCAAGTTTTTGAGTTTTTCTTCTTAAATGGAAAATATTTCATGGAGATCAAAGTAAATGATTAAAAATGTATCATTTAATAATGTTTTGTGATTTTATTAGAGAAAAATATGTGCAGATTTAGATACATGAATAAAAATAGAGGTAATAATTAAATTTGTTTATGTATCTAAATCTGCACATATTTTTCTCTATTAAAATCACAAAACATAATTAAATATAATACATTTTTAACCATTTACTTTGATCTCCATGAAATATTTTCCATTTAAGAAGAAAAACTCGAAAACTTGATTTTTCCTTGTAGTTTCTACAAATCTGTCAGAAATGTGTCCGTTTGTCTTCGTATGACATATAGGAAGATTGTTCAAGTTTTCCGAGTTATTTCCACGAAATTAAAAGTCTCTATGTACTTGTAATTTAAAAGCTTCCATTACCACCCCACCTTCTCCTACTTAGATGTGAACAAAACTCAGGGTGTCTAAAGGTCAGGGAAAAGTCAGGGAATTTTGTTGGTCAGGGAAATTTTAGAAAATTTTATTTAAAATCAGGTAAATTTCTGTAAATTTCTACCAAAATTAAAATTTTGTGTGAAATTAAAAAATTTTTAACCTAAAAAAACTTGAATGGTTTTCATTACCATTTGTGACGCTCCACGAGAGAAGGGCCCTATCCCCGAAATAACATTAGGCTCAGTTTTCCGTGCACCGTACATGAAAACTAAGCCTAATATTATTTCGGAGATAGGTCCCTTCTCTCGTGGAGCGTCACATTTGTTAATACCATTAGAAATTAATTTATTGTTAAACATGTCAGTAACCACATTTTTGTCCAAAGAAAGCAGAAATAAGGTTATTAAAAAGTCAAGGAAAAATAAAAAAATGTCAGGGAAAATTCGGAATTTTTTTCTCAATCCGTGTTAGACACCCCGAAACTTAAAGTTTAGATATTTTTTGGGTCTCTAAATTCGTATATGAATATGAAGTTTTATAAAAATAGAAAAATTTTTAAAACCTTCATTCTACCTTATTGGACTAGGCACCCACACAGCACCCAAAATTCCCTGAAACTTGACAGAACTAACTTAAAAATATTGGAATACCAAGTTCTGTTCAAATCCAAGCATTTTTAAAAAGTTCAGTGCTCCATATTAGATCCGCTATTTTGAATTTTGTTATTCATCATATTTGAATTCAGCGACCTCAAAAACATTGAATACCAAGTTTTGTTTAAATTAGATAATTTTTAGAAATTTCAGTCATGTAGCCGCCATTTTGAATTTTTAAATTTCAACATTTTTTATGTATTCAGCGTTCTTAAATGTTGCCAGTTCATAAAGTCTGACTTAATATATAAGTTAGACCGTTAAAACAAAAACTATTGAAAAGCTTATTTCTAAATAACCATAAAACATGGTTTTGGGCGTAAACTTGCTCGAGCATTTGTTGTCTTGTGATATAGTTTTTTTTGCAGGGTTATACAATAAGCTATTTTCAATTGTTTTTGTTTAACTGTTTAACTTATATGTATATTGTCTGAGTTTAAAGTCATGTGTGTTTTTGTATATTACCGTCAATTCTTAACGATACTATAGATAAATTATTTCTTTATTAAAATATTTTTCATTATAGATTTTAGGTATTATATGAACAAAAAATATCCAAAAATTCTTGACGGTTATTATACTTTGGGAGAAACATTGAATCCAGCTTTGGAAATGAGAACTTTTGATAAACTCACCTGGGAAAAAAAAGGAAATTTGGAAGCTTAAAGCTTGATGGCGTTCTTCAAATCGTTCATCCTCTTAATATCTGGTGGAAGTTTAGGATATCTACTTTCAAATCTTATTAATCTCAACAAGACCAATGTGACAAAGGTAAAAAATATTTCTTATAAGTTATGATGAAGCATATTATAAAATTCTTTATACTCACTGAAATCCCGATCGCTGAGTTGGTTCGAGGATGCTAACCTACCGATCGGGAGGAATAAAAGCGTAAACTAACGGAGCCATAAAAACTGTTTTATTTTACTTTTCATTAAATACATATGGGTGATTTGCACGTAATTTTAATATTTGGCGGTGTCATACAAAACACAATCAATACAAAAAATTTTTGTCCTGGGTGTGTATAAATTTCACAGGTGTATATAAAACCAATTTACAAGAAAAAATACGTACAAATAGATATTATAATTTTTTAACAAATTGCAGTATTACTTCGAAAATGTCAGCTCCGTGTCCGGAAATGTACAAAAAAAGTGGTCAGTAACGTTGTATTACTATTCTTTTAATCTAAACACTCTTTGTTATAATTATTACGATATTTTTGAAAATTTCATTGGAAACAAATGATCTACACACGGAAAAGGATTATTTTGCAGAATTGTTTGAGTTATGATAGTTTAAATGTCAAATGTCAGCTCCGTGGCGCCGGTGGCGTTCAGTGTAAAGGAACGGAAGAAGAACGGAATTTCTGCAAATTACAAACTGATAAAATATTACGATAACGGATAAACGTCATTAATGAAATTAAAAAATAGACATTAAAAGAGGATCTGTTTTCAATGTTTATTTTATGCTGAAAAATGTTGAAGCGTTAAAAAGAATTTATATTTTCTTAATTTGTAATGTATTTCATTTATAACATTTTAAAATAATTTTTTATAACTTATTAAAGCATTGTAATTAAAATCTGCGTAAATTGATTAATATTTTTCAGAAAATTATTTTTTATTTTATAATATTTTTGGACAATGTATCATTTTACAATATTTTGTCCAGGTATAAATATCGCGTCAAAAATTTGTTATCTTTGACATGGTGACCTAAATTTTAAAAAAATCAAAATGTCGCTACAATATTGTCGATTAAAGATTAATTTTTAATAAAATATATGCATCTAGTTTCAAAATTTTTAAAAACTCATTGAATTCACTCGAAAATCGTTACTCGGGGGTTTTCGTGGTCGCTGATTACGAATCTGGGTTAGGTTTTAGAAAATTCAAAATGAATCAAATTTTTCGGATTTCAAATGTTAAAGAATTTGTATCGTATTCGATTTTTATATTTACTACGTTCATTAGTCGTCAAATTGATTAAACGATGACAAACTCTAACCGCGTAGAGATAAACGTTGAATAGAGTCTTTTTTTAATTTTTAAAATTTTTTTCTGATTTTCTTTTTTAGCGTTTCTCAACGTTTAATCAATTTGACAGCTAAAGAACGTAGTAATTATAAAAATAAAATACAATACAAATTCTTTAACATTTAAAATCTGAAATATTGGATCCGCCATTTTGAATTTATATAAACCTACCCCAGATTCGTAATCAGCGACCCCGAAAACTCCCGAGTAACAATTTTCGAGTGAATTCAATGAGTTTTTAAATTTTTTAAAACTAGATGCATATGTGTTATTAAAAATTAAACTTTAATCGACAGTATTGTTGCGCCATTTTGATTTTATTTATAAATCTAGGTCACCTTGTCAAAGGTCAGATATTTTTGACTCGATATTTGTACCTAGACAAGATATTTTAAAATGGTACATTGTCTAAAAATATTATAAAGTAAAAAAAACCTTGAAAATTCATGTTTTTTATTAAATATTGTCTGTAATTTGTTTATTTTTTAATTTACGGATTTTTCTGATGCACCATTTGAAAGAGCGCTTCCGGGGACATAAGAAATATATATTGCCAATTGTTTGATATTGCGTTTTGTTAATTTAAAAAATTTCCAAACTTAAAGTTAAATTTTTGTACATTTGGTCCTTAAAGGGTTAATGCGGTTTGATTAATAAAACGAAACTCGAATAGACTTTTGATTCGGTTTGGTAAACGAAACGAAATTAAAAGATAATTTTGATTCAGTTTATTAATCGAAACGAAAGTCGAAAGGAATTTTGATTCGGTTTGGTATACGAAACGAAAGTCGAATAGATTTTGGATTCGATTTGGTAAACGAAACTAAAGTCGAATGGACTTTTGATTCGGTTTGATAAATCGAAAGGAAAATATAATGTAGACTTTTGATTCCGATAGTATCCGTCGCTATGTGACTCTAAACGTAAAACGTAAGACTCAAGACATATGACTTGATTCAGTTAGAGAACCCGAAGTTATCTTACAAACTTTTCTTTCGTTTAAAAAACAAAATCAGAAGTACATTCTTCATTCATTTCGTTCACTAAAACAAATCAAAACTAAGTTAACTTTAGATTCTGATTTCGCAATCAAATCCGAACAGACTTGATTTTTGATTCTGATTTCGGAATTAAAACTTAAATGAACTACCCTTTTGATTCAGGTACCAGAATCAAAACTGAATATAGCTGATTTTTGATTCTGATTTCGGAATCAAAACTAAAAAAACTTGACTTCTGATTCCGATATCGTGATCAGAATCAAAAGAAAAGTATTTTTGAATTTTGTTTTGATTTCGTGAAGGTCCGTGGAATATTATAATAATTTATAATTTTAAAAACAATCACTTTAAATTATTTCAAACTGGCCAAAAAATGAAGTGTTTCATTTTAGATTTTCTTTTTTAAATCGAAATATTAAAATATAAATAATTGTTTAATAACATATTAAATGATAAATATTTATTAAATGTTTTAATAATTCATATTTATTAAATGTTGCAATAATTAACCCCTTCGTTGGCATTGACGCGTTTACGCGTCAACCATTAATTTTATATACCCTTTCGTGCCCCAGCAAAACCACCGTACGAATTTGCTTCAAACTTCCCATTCGGGGGTTTTTGGGGTCGCTGTTTCCGAATTCGATGTTGGTTTTTCAAAATTCAAAATAGCGAATTTAATATCGCGAACTTTTTTTCAAAATTCGTTTGGATTCGCTTAATAATTAGTATTCAGGGATTTTTTAGGTCGCTCATTACGAATCCGATGTTAGTTTTAAAAAAAAATTTAAATTGACAATATTTAAAAAAATTGCTAGAATTTGGTACTGTGGAGTTTTTGGGATCGCTGATTACGAATCCGAAGTCAGAATTCAAAAATTCAAATTAGTGAATCCAATATGGTGGATGAATTAAGACAAAAATATTGGTCTCTTTAAAAAAATATTGGATTTTCGTTCAAATGGGTATCTTAAGATTTTTGGGGTGTCTGATTTTTAATTTTTCAAATTTTTAAGGAAATACAATAATTTAAAAAAAAAATCGTCAGCCATAATGGATCCGCCATTTTGAATATTCAAAATTTTAAAAATAATACTTCAGATTCGTAATCATCAATTTTAAAAAACCTCAAGGAAAACCATTTTTTAGGAAAAAACATTGATTTTAAAAAAAAAAAAAACGTCTGCCATACTGTATCTTACATTTGAATTTCAAAAAACTGACATTGAGTTCGTAATCAGCGACCCTGAAAACCCCCGAGTAAAGAGTTGCAAGTGAATCTGAACGATTTTTGAAAAAAAAGTCCGCCATATTGGATCCGACATTTTGAATTTTAAAAAACTAACATCGAATTCGTAATCAGCGACCCCGAAAACCCCCTGGATACCAATTTTGAGGAAAAAAAAATTTCTGTACATTTTGGTCACTTTTTGTCGAATTCCTTCTGCCAACAAAGGGGTTAATTTTTATTAAATATTAATTTGAAGAATAATTAATTAAAATATCAAATATCACTTTACACTATAATTAAATTTCGGAGACGTGTTAAAGAAAGTGATATTTTTTTAAATATATAATTTTACTACTTATTAATAAATGTTGAGATATAAATCTAATATTAATTATGCATAGTCAATTGAAAAGAATGTTATAATAAGGAATTTGAATGCATAGGGTGGTCAGCTCCGTGGCAGCCAATTCTCAAAAATTTATTATAATATTTATTATAATTTTCGTATAATTATAAAATTATAAATTATAGCTGTAGTAAAACCGTTAAAATTAAAACTAGGGTAACTGCACCAGTGGTGGATCAGTTAAGCCCCTTAACTTTCTTATTTTGACTTTGAAGTTCTGTAAAGGTTGCTTTTAGACAAATTCGAGGTTATTCTTTATAGTATTATGGACCAGATAGTTCCAATAGACATTTCCTTCAAGGTTGGACTTGATTTTGACACCTACGTTTACTTTAATGCTCCATCAAAGATAATTTGTCAATGATCCTATTCTGGATCACTGTTTGCACCAGTCATGGTTATAGATTGCTCCAGTGGTGGATCACTTAAAAAATCATACTAAAAAACATTGCATTTCAAAATTACGAGACTGAGACGTTTTGCAACTTTTATAAGGCTTTACGGACAGATTTTCCAATTCACTTTCCTATCCATATCCCCTCCTCTTTCATTTCTATAGGTATAATGTGACTAAATGTTAATTAATCATCTTTTTATTAGAATTTTTGCTAATAAATAAATAGAAACTCTTAAAGCTTCAGTTTCAATGATAAATAACATTTATTAATTCTGGGTATTTTAATTCAACAAAAATTTAACAATTTGAAATCAGGTGTTAACAATTAATAAACATTTGAATTAGTGTTAACTAAAATTTAACTCATAAAATTTTCAATAAAACAAAACTAAAAGTTAAATGAACGTTAAAAATTTTAAAAAAAAATTAAATTCACAAATTTTTTAATTAAACAAAACTAAAACTTGAATTTATGTTAAAAATTTTAGAAGATAATTTAATTCATAAAATTTTCAATTAAAAAAAATTTAATTTTATGTTAATAATGTGGAGCGTCCACAATGCGTCAACAGGCGAAAAGTAGGACTGATCCACCACTAGATTTTGTTACTTTTTTGGTTCCAGTCGTGGATCACCCCAAAACAATGGACACGCGCTACTTAAAGACGTAAATATTGTTCTCAGGGCTCTATGGGGATGAAACGAAATGCCTCCTATTGTGAAAAGAATTAAAAATTGTCCTAAAATGGCTCCAAAGCTTTCTATTCCAAAATATACTCTTAACTTACATGCTAAGGAAAACTCTTGTTTTCTGTCACCACTTTAGTAATTGTTGTCCTGCTTTCTTCGCGATGAATTTAAAAATTTTTTGAAATTGTAATATTGATCTGTATAACTTTCTTAACAATTACCGACACTTGCGGTTCATTTACTTACAAACGTGTAAACACAAATGACCATTTTTCTCGCAGTTGATCCACCACTGGTGCAGTTACCCTATATTATGCCATAATGATGAGGAAAAGTTAGGTTCAACATTAAAAAAACAAAATTTTGTTTCTTTTTAAATTGATCTGGAAATTATACAGTTACGTACAAATCACCCATAGGATACAATATTATGGATTCTGTATCATATTTTCACTCAATTTTATTATATTCATGTTTAAAACTGTTTTAGTTTCTTCCTGGGGGACAGGCATACATAAAATTCCAAAATAAGCACCAGAAAAGCAAAATTATTAAGCCGAGTAATCACATGCATGATAACAATCTAATAAAAGAATACGAGGATTTACAAGGTGCAAAAATAAAATAACATTTAATTAAAATAATGGATCCTCCTGTAGTGGAGGAGGGGAGTTTACCTGACAGAATTAACAAAAGGGATCGCGAACGTAAGATCATAATTGAGAAAAGACGCGAGGAGAGGCAACAATTGGCTGTAGAGTCTGAACAGACTAGTTACTTTAAGGAAACTTTTTATTCCTCATGTAGTAAAATTAAAGAATTACTAGATAGCACATCCGGCATTTCTTCAGTCGCTCTTGCTGGTATTTTTGATAAAGTTAACAAAGAGATCTTAACATTAAAAAATTATTTGCATCAATCGAAAATGTTTCTTAAAGTCTATGATATCAGGAAGGCTCAGGAAAATCTACAAATGTTGGAAAATGACGCATTGGAATTGGAAACAAAGCTTTTACCGAAAAAGAAATTTGGATTTAAAAACCGAAGAGTTATCAAAAAACCATCAGATGGAGAAAATGATGTTACCGATGGACTTAAGGTAAATATAGGTTTCAATGACTAAACATTCACATTCAACCTAGACTTTCAGTAACAGCAGTATCGGCTACTCCAAAAAAAATTTCATTTTTTTAATGATTCTTTTTTAATTTATCTACATTAGATTGTCAGAAACTTTTTCTTTATTTTTTACTACTGATATTATTAAATTAACTGAACGGGAGACCCTTATCTCTCCAAAAATGGTTTTGACCAAAAGAGTCGTAATAGGGCCTAAAATTTAACTCTTTGCGTCTACTTTTCAATGCAAAAAGAAAATTTTCAAAATGGCTCATTTAATATGCCTGAAAATGTGAACAGAACTCAATAAATTACTTCTTACTTTCTATGCCAATACAATTCATTTAGACGTAGAAGGTTCTTCGGCACTTTATAGTATATGCACCTCGTGGGAGACGGAGATTTGCTCTTACGTGATTGCCGCGCTCGCGCGGCAAAATTCACGCTTGTGGGAATCTCCTATGTCTCCCACTCGATAAACAATGTATTATTTTTTTTAATAAACTACTGAAAAAAGGCTGCCGAAAGTGGTACACTCTAAATGTTGGGACGCATGAATATTCCCCAAATTAGACTTGCCGGAATTTTTGTGGTTTCGAATTAAAAATTGTAAAATTTACATTTAGTGGAATTTTAAAAAAGTAGATTTAATAATGAACCCAATTTTAATATCGAAATATTTCTATTTAACAAAATTCTGATTTTGTAGAATTTTTATTTAACTGAACTTTAATAAAGCAGATTTTCTAATACATCGAATTTTCAAATAACACAATTTCCATTTAACAAAATTTATATCTGGAAAAATTTTTATAAAAAAGAATTTTTTTTTATTAGAATTGTTCTTTTGTTGAATTTCTATTTATCTGAATATTCACTTAAAAGTATTTTTATTGACAGAATTTCCAACTAAATGAATTTCTATATAACAAAATTCTTATTTGACAAAAATTTTATTCGAAAAATTTTTATACAATCTAATTTTTATTTAACAGAAATTCTACTTAGCTTAATTTTTAAGATAGAGATTTTCTATTTCACCGATACTTCATTTGACAGAAGTTTCACTTATCCGAATTTTCATTCGATAGAATTCTTTAAATGTCGAATTTCCATTTGATCGAACTTTCATATATCCCATCATACAATGGCAGAAACATTTCAGTGGGAGTTTTTAAATCCACCAATCACAATTTTCTTGATAATTTTTGATTGGTTGATTTTAAAACTCCCGCTGAAATGTTTCTGCCAAGTGTATGATCTGACATATGAAAGTTTGATCAAATGGAAATTCGACGTTTTAACAATTCTATCTAATGAAAATTCAGATAAGTAAAACTTGGGTGAAATAAAGTATCGGTGAAATAAAAATTCTCTGTCTTAAAAATTTAGCTATTGAAGGCTACTCGCTAAACTGCCACACTGTTTGGCTTCATGGCAAAGACTGACTCATAAGTTTTGGTTTTAGCGATAAGAGGGAATATAGTATATATTCGTGAATCACACACATATAAAATAAGAAACAAAATCTTCGTTATAATATTTGCTATTAGGTATTCTGTTTCTTAAAGAACGTCTAGGTTCATTTGTTTCTTCGCTTAAACTATTTTGATTTGATTTCGGACTTTTAATATTTTGTTTATTTTTTAAATAAGCCGCTGCTTTCACAACTTCAGGCCAATAAGTTTGATTTACTTTAGCTTCTTTAAGCAAACATCTCGCTGTTGTATCCTGTTGTATCTTTCTGCTAGCCCATTTAATTCGTGAACATGTGGTAGGCATAGTTTTAAATAAATTCCTTTCTCTCTGACAAAATTAAAAATAACATTATTTAAATATTCTTTACCATTGTCGCAAATCAGTGTTTTAACTTTCTTTCAGTTAAATTTTCAACTAAATTTACATAATCGACGAAACAATTATATAAGTATCTGATTTTGCTTTAATTGTGTAAAGTTTAGCGAATTTACTATAATCATCTACAAAAGTTAAAAAATATTTTTCCCCACAATTTCCTTCAGTAGAATGATACCCATTCAAATCAGTATGAACTATTTCCAAGATATCATTTGCTTTGTTTCTATTATTGTTAAAGGGTAAATTACTCATTTTACTTTCTATACAAATAGCGTATTTCAGAAAATCATTTTCTAATTTTTTTGGCAGACCAGTTAATGTTTCATTTTTACAGATTTTTGTTAAATATTGAAAATTTACATGCCCTATGCCATTTTTCTTTTTGAGTCATACCGTTATTTGTGACTAAATTTGCATTTATTTCTTTATTTTGATTTTCATAAACAAAACTTGTTTAATGATATAAATTTTCGAATACCCATAGAGACTATTTTATTTTCATTTGTGACCTTGGAATAACTGATTATGTTTTGGTTCATATCCTTCACATAGAATACGTTATATAAAGTTATTTCGCTACTTTGATCGTAAATTGGAAAAATTGCTCTAATTTTGCCTACTTTTGTTGCTTTTAAACATCGACCATCACCTAATTTAAGGGCACATTCCAGTTCAAAATGGGAAAAAAAGCCTTTTTTAGGATGTATTTCTAAAAAAAACATGACATTCATTCAGAAATTTTTGTTTATATGTTATAAATAACTTGAAGAATATGAAAAAAAAAATTTTTTTTCACTTGTAGTCTAAGATGGCGGCGCACAGTGGTTCAAAATAGCAAAAAATGGTAAAAGTTAAATCTTCACGCAAGTTTTCAATCAAAATAAGTATATATAATATATCATTCGACGCAGAATTACACCACGAACTCACAAAAGTGCGAGCTTAGAAAAAGATACATTGTACTCCGAACTACGTTCGAAAAATACATTAATAATGCAGTTTTTCAAATTTTATGTATCTGAAAATTTTCCAAAATATCCGAGAAGCATTATTGAGGGTATTTAATGATTTTAGGCTACAAATATGCTATTAAAATTTTATCTGTCGTATGAAAATGGAATCCTTCGATTTGACTATAATTTCTTCAAATTAAAATTAATTCCTTTATTTTTAATATCAGATACTTTTTACTTGAGAGGAAAAATTTAACAAATGATAAGTTTTTTTTTTTGGCGATAAGTTTTGGCGATAAGAGGGTTTATATAGTTTATACAATATAGTATATATATTATAGTTTATATTCGCTACCCAGGTGCAAATTTCGGTCGGCCGCCAGAAATGGTTGGTCGGCCCAACTAGGGCTGCATGAGAGTCGGCCGCCCTAGTTGGTCCGACCATGGTAAATATTGTCACCCAAAGGTGGCCCGACTATGGCTGCCAACGTCGGCAACCTTAGTTGGGACAACCTTGGCCGCCATAGTTGGGCCGACTGTGGGATATAATGGTCTTTAAATAATTAAAATATAAATACATGATAATTTAAACGCAAAATTTATTTCAAATTGACTAATTTTCTTATCTAAATAAGTTTTATTTTTATAATAATTTTTTTCCAACGCCAAAGTGATTCGATATGAAATACTTCCGGTTTTCTACTGGATGAACTTGTTACTTCACTTCCCTAGAAACATTTTATGAGGTACAAAAAAATATTGATCAACTTGAATCGCTTAAAACTGACTGTTTACATTTACCCCGAGATTTTGAAATTTTCCCAAAATTCGGGGTAAATGTAAACACACCTGTAATTTAAAGAGGTTTAAGAAAAAAGTTATCCTAAGTATACTACTGTGTAAAGGGATGTAAAAACTGAAAAAAAATTCTTGGTGGATGTAAAATAATTGAACCAATTGATTGATATGCAACATATAAAATAAGCAATCATTACCATAACAAAACTAGTAATGTAAAAACTTGAATAACTTCAATAAATTTTAATAGATTTTCATTCAACTTGGTGAAAATAAGTTTTTAAGGTTGCTGAATAAGATTCTAAAATCGAATTTATAAATTTCAAAATGGCGGATCTAAAATGGCGGACAAACATAAAAATATTTTTAAAAATTGATCAAATTTGCTTGAATCTCGCTACTCGGGGGTTTTTGAGGTCACTGAATACGAATTTGAAAACAAATTTAAAATTTTCAAAATGGCGGATGAATCAACCAATCAATCCACCCATCAATCACTCAATCAACCAATCTATAAATCAATCATCCAAGCAACCAATCTATCCACCAATCAATCACTCAATCAACCAATCATCCAATCAATCCACCAATCAATCAGTCAATCAATCAAGCAATCCACCAATCAACCACTCAATCAACCAATCTATAAATCAATTATCCAATCAACCAATCAATCCAATCCACCAATCAATCCACCAATTACTCAATCAACCAATCCATAAATCAAACGTCCAATCACTCAACCAATCCATCAATCAATCCATCAATCAATCCATCAATCAATCTATCAATCAATCAATCACTCACTCTTATTCTAGGATTCCTACGTACCTGAGTTTTATTCATCAATCGTGAAGAATCGCTTTCCTATATTTTAAACACGTAAATGCACTTTGCAATACTATGCAGGTCTATACCTGCAACTGACTAACACCAAGGAGATATAAAAGAAGATCCAATTTCGTTTTTATGTAATTTTACAGGGCCAAAATAATGTAATTGTGAAATAGAAGCAAATTTATTCAATTATTTTCTTTTAAAATGCAGCAGAAATTCTGTTTACATTTACCCCGAGTTTTCGAATTCTCGGGGTAAACGTAAACACTTAATTATCTATTAACTAAATTGACGAAATTAAAAAATCAAAGTCAGCTTTTGTTAAGGGATTCATAAGGAATAATTAGAAATTTTAGTTTGAATTTTTAGTTCATTTTTATTCAAATGCGAGACAAAATACTGAAACAGTAAAACTTTGATTTTCAATCTTTCATGCATTAAGCTACAAATTGGAGTATGGCTTTGACAATTGTCGAAAAAAAAATTGGCAATACTCAGAACCTGTTGCAGGTGAGCTGAGGTTAAAATATTGGGG